GTGGATTCCATCGTGCTCGAAGGTAGAGCCATCTAAACGTATTACTGGGGGTGGCGGGGGCCAAGCGATCAACTATTGTGTGCCAACACCCTTGACGGTGTTCACCCTGCCCCCTTTCAAGCAGCCCGCCTCTCTTTGAACCCTGAGCCCCAGGCCTGAGCAGCCCTATCGTATACCACCCCCATAGTGTTGTTGGCTGACGGATTGCTCTGGGATGCTCAGAAATTGCCACTCGTATGTTACATGGGTCTCCCTGTCCGTTGCGGAGCAGTGCTCCACATACCCGTCCGGCATGTCTGCACGCCTCACGGACAAGTCTATGCTGACTGTGCATTAATCCAGTAATCGTCCAAACAATATGAATTCAAAATAAAAAAATCAAAAGGAATAAAAAAGGCGAGAGGGCTAAAGTATCTAAAAATGGCACCGCACAACGATAACTGCAACGACGTGGCTCTGTTCAACTTCAACCACGTTTACGGACATTGTGGAATCAATTATCAAAAACCCTTCTTCTGAGCAGAAACACAGTCAATCTCTATGACTTCGGCAGCCCCCAGGTCGGGGCCAGTGGTTGTTGACATTTGACTTAATCTAATAACTCCATAGAGTAAAACGCAGTCTTTAAATGGCGAACGCATGCCTGGAATCTGTTTTTCAATTTCCGCCGTACAGCAAACGCGGAGTGCTTGAATGTAAATGCTCGTCGCTCCGTACCGGACTAGCGTGAAGTGGGCCTTTGCGTCCAGCCTTACACCCGATCCCAATGTTTAATCAGGCCACACCACATCCCAGCCACACCGCCTTGCGGCTCGCCTGCCAGTCTCAGTCTCGCCACGTCTCTGGCTTCTTTGGGTCCTCGCTTTCTATCAGCTCCGTCGTACTCTCGGCCTAGTCGGGCCTTGCCCTTACCACAGAATGTACACTACTTCGACCGCATAACTCGGGGCCTTCGGTTTTCTCTCCGCACCGCCCGGGACCTGGGGCCCCGGCCTGAAAAGGGTGGGGCTGTGTGGCAGACGCCTCCGTGCCTTGATGGGTAGCGTTGCCAGTCTAGCTCTCCACCATCGTGGCCAAACAGGTGTGATCAAGACGCAGTCCGGCTTCTCCTCGGCAATCTTGTGCACTACTCGCCCCATCTGGTCGAACGGGGGGTTAAGGTACAGCAGGCCCTGGCGACTCCACTTTCCCCAGTCTTGAGTGAAGGCATCCACCGCTAGGGCGTTGGGGCTCCAATAACGCGCAAAGAAGCGTCCTGGTACTTTCGTAGAAAACTCGTCCGCAAACACATCTACCGTAGGCCTGCTTCCCTGCAGGCATGGTTCCGCCCACAAACTTGCGAACACCGCGTCGTCCAAACACCACTGCGAGCTGTCTTCGAACTTGGAGAGCGTGTCTGCATACTGCTGTTGCTGTTCCGAGCNGGGGTGCCAGACTAGCTGGACCTCCAAGTCCCACTCCGCGCACTTCATGTACAGCTCGTCTACTCGCTGCAGGCACGGGCCCTGCCCTTTCATGCCTAGCACACACAGGGTTGCGGCCTGGCTGTCCGTGTGATACTGCACCGACCTTCCTGCTAGTAAGTGCGGACCCTCACACTAATCCAGTCGAGCGCTAGCGCCACTGTGCGAAGTTCTCGTTCCGTGCTGGACATTTCCCCCCCGGGCCATGCGCTCTGACTCTTCCGGGGTGAACGGCACTCGCATCTCACTCGCTTCTCCGTCTCCCAGTTGACGGTCTGGTAGGTATGCGGCGTAGGCTTTCTCAGAGGCGTCCCCTGCCACCCTGAGCAACAGGGCTGGCCCGCGTCGCCACCACGTCTTACCGTTCTTGAGGCGCAGCAGGGTTAGGAAGAGCCGTGCCCTAGACAGGAAAGTGGCTGGGTCCCCCACCGCTTCATCCCAGTGTGCTGCTCCTGCTGCCGCCCGCCCAACCACACGCGCGTGGAGCGGCGCCGTAGCCACCGCCGGGCTCATGGCCATGATCCGGCCGGCCACCCGTGCCACCTCCCTGGCTGTGATTGAATCCGGTCCCGCGGTCTCCAAGAGCTCGACCGATTCGGCCAGCTGGCGGACTTTTTCCTCGGGTACTTCGAAAACCTCGCGCTGTGCGTCGACCATGAAGCCTAAGAACTTGACGCGGTGGGACGGTCGCAGCTGGCATTTCTCAAGGCTCAGGGTGAAACCCAGCGCCGTGAGGAGGTCGACGACTGCTCGGCATAGGCGCTGTGCAGCTGGGAGTGTCCTCGCCGCCACCGCGCAGTCGTCGATTAAGTACGCCAGGTCTACGCCTCGCTCCCGCATCGGTCGAAATAGCTCCTGCTTCAGCAGGCTGTAGACCCAGCAGGCCGGGGCGAAGCCGAACGCCATTACGAGCCAGTAGTGTAGGTCGCCTTCCCATTCGAAGGCGGCGAAGCGGTACATGTCCGGGTGCAGCAGGAGGTTCCAGTAACCGCTCTTGTCGTCCGTTGGAAGAGGAAATCGTCTTTTCGCAGAAAGCCTGGCAAGTCCGAGATGTGTTCGTATTTCAGCGGCGGGGGATCCTC